CAGTTCTGAATTTTGTTTTATTTATAGGTGGTCAAATCTTATAGCTCAACTGACAAGGAACAAATGTCCCATATGATATTCATTATGAAGACAACAGTATACACCACTCATATTAATTGAGAATATTATTCTTCTTGAATAATTTTAAAATTTGTTATTTATATTCTTTTTTATGTTTCAAATTCAATTATTATAACTCATCCTGATTATAATTAAATATTATCATATTTTACTGAATTATATTATTAGCATAAACTACAAATTGTGTGCACCTACTTTTTTCTTTATATTACTGTTTTTTTTTTTATATTGAATAATTTTATGATATAATAAACCTTTTATACTCAGTGAACGTGGAATGAGTCTTAGATTTTTTAAATTTACTTACAAGTTACAACTGAACAAAATGTACAATACAACATGTTTTGTAAAGTAATAGTTAGTATTTCTATACAATCTGTTGTTTTTGCTTGCAAATAATAAATATAAAATAGGTACTAATAATAATTAAACATTTTGAATCTTGATATTGAATAAACTCACCAAATAAACTCATATAATCAGGCACAATTTCAACTTTTTACTTGGGGGGGGGGGCTGAATATATTAAAGGCATGCAGGCCATTGCAAAATAGCATATTAAAATTGTATGTCCTAGGTTTTGGGGAGGGGGCTACCAATTTGCGCCTATGCATATAATATCTACTTATACCAATTTAAATTTAGATATAAATCACCTATTATATTTATAAGGTCTTTATTTGTCAAAATATGGCAAAAATGGTAATTTATATACAAAAATAAAAAAACAAGTTAGTATTTCAAAACCAATATTTCTTGAAAATGTCATCTATAATGTATCATTGATATAATTGAATTCAAAACATAGTACATCCTGTTTTTGAGGTAATATCTAAAATATCTTCAAAAAATAAAATGCCAGTTTACCAATTTAGGTGTAGACAGCTTTTATTCGAATCACAATTAATATGTGATATGGGTTCCATATAAATGGATATAAAATTGTTTATAACTCTTCAACCACAGACAGAGTGGACTTAGATTAATGTGAAAAGAATAATTAAATTACACAAAACAAATTTACTAAAACTTTTTTTATAGAAACTGGAGTCAACAAATTATATTAATAACAAATAGCTTAATGAATTTCAAATTATAAGATGTGATTGGGATCAAAGAATATCTGATACATATTAAAAGTTTTGTGGGTCCAGCGGCAATTGTTTGTTTCAAATTATTTTTACTAATACAAGATGGAAGAGCTTTAAATGATTACAAAGAGTGTATCCTAAGAAAATATTATAATTATTACCTTGTCACATTGAAGAAAAAGAATGACACTGAGATTGCCTAATAGTCAAAACAAATATTTAATATATTAAAATATAAAATTTCTAATTTATCCATGGTCTAAATTAAGATAATATTAGATGTCAAATATAAATGTTAATATCATACTATAGCTGTGACACCGTGTAGTGTGCTTCTGTTTTTCATTTACAGATTCTGAAGTTCTGAACTCTGAGATCTACTTTACACCGTGGAGCGTGGATTATATGTAGGTACTTAAATAAAATCTATACATTGACACATTGTTAGGGACTTAGGGTTAGGTTACATTACAGGGCCGTATTTAGGGATTTTTCGCCCCCGGGCACAATATTTATGGCACCCCTTTCCAACACATTTTTTTAATACCATAGAAGTGGTGGCTAAATTTTATTTTTTTTTGGGGGGGGGCATAACATTAATTCATTTTTTATGTTTCCCTTTCTCATTGAAATTTAATTTGCAGTTAATTTTTAGCAATTTTAACTAGGTACCTATGCACAATGGTGGGCAAGTTAATGAAAATAATTAACTGTGGCAAGTTAAGTTAATTAAATTAAATTGCCTTCAGTTAAGTTAAAAGTTAACAAAGAAAAAAATTTAACTAGATAAGTTTAAAGTTATGATGGAAAATAAAATTAACTTATCTCAGTTAAAAAAAAGTTAATTTTTTTGAAGGTACAATATTTTTAAGTCATAACTACCATAGTATTTTATATACTCAAACATTTACCAAGACATTTAACACTGTGTAAAAAATTATATTATTATAATTTATAATATATAATTCGAAAATGAATTACCAAAACTGTATAAAAGTCGAAGAATCAGTATTTCCTAGTTGATTACGCATGACTCAAAAGAAAATTAACTTAACTGCTCGACAATGATAATTAACTATAAAAAGTTAAGTTACAACAATAAACATTTTAACTGAATAAGTTAATAAGTTAAAAACAAAAATAATTAACTAGTTAAGTTAAAAAGTTAAAAAAAAATTAACTTTTTAACTTAACTTTAACTTTTTAACAAGTTAATGCCCACCTTTGCCTATGCATTCCAATATTAGATTTTTAACAGTACGTAAACTATACAAAAAAAACATGAGTAACTAGTTTATAACTTAGGTCTTAGGTACTATCTACCTAGAATCTTCCATGATTCAAATAATAAAGAATGATATACAATTAATAATATGTACTATAATATAGTAATATAATAATATTTATTGTTTATTTTACAATTTTTTTCTTGATTGAATATCACCAAAATGATCTATAATATCTTCATATTTAATTTGTTTTGTTATTTCTGATTCAATATTTAATATTGCATGTGAGTTTAATCTCTCTTTAGAAATAGTTGACCTTAGGTAGTTTTTATCCAGCGTAAAGTTGAAAATGACCGTTCAGCGGTACAGTTTGAACAGGGAGTAGGTACCTACATAAAAACATGTGTAAGCAAAGCAATACCTAGGTACTAACACACGGGTAAATGTCTTCTGATCCTTCTATTTTTAACATAGAACTCATATCAATTATAGTTGATGGAGAATTTTTCATACTTTGAATATAACTTTGAAAATGAACACATTTGTTAATAAATGTTACATCCAAATCTTTTGTATACATTCAGTACAAATGTTCAGCTAAAACACGTACTTCTGATGGTTTTATCTTTGTGGGTCTTAAAAAAAAACTATACTTTGTTATGACATTATCGTAAGCTAACTTTCGACTTGTTAATTCTTCTATTATAGAATCACAAATCACTAAATATGTGTTTACTTTGAATTCCAAACTATGGTTTCTACTTTCTCACTATGCTCTTCTCTTTTAAGTTTAAACATGGTATTTATTTCGTTTGTTTTTCTTATAACTTCATTAGGTTTTTCCTTCTTTTTTTTTGCCTCCTTACCATTGCATACACCACTAGCTTTGACTCTTTTTAGCTCCATTAAAGTATAATTTCAACTAAAAAATTGTTATGACACAATTAAACTTATCTAGTCTTACTTATTAATTATTATTTACCTACTTGCCACTATGACTAAATTACTGCATTCAATTCATATGTATAATGTATAAATATATAAACATATCCAATAATTGTATGCAGATTTGCAGTGTAATTTAAGTGAACCTAAACTGTGTAATTGTAGTGTACCTACCTTAACTGGCACAACCTTACAATATCAATTATAAAGTTGAAAGTTTTAATATTATTACAAATAATATAAATATTTTATTTTATATAACAATTCAAAAAAAAGTAAACTCTTATTTCTATTATATTAGTTCACTTATTGAGATTTAAATTATGTAGGTACGGAGTACGTAGTCACTGACATATAGAGTTTAGCAAGTTGTATAATATGAAATGACACAAATGTATTTTAGTAGCCAGTAAATAAGTACAATCGATAATCCTGATTTGCCAATACGGGCCAACGCAGTTATACTATACGTCTAGTTTTACAGTTTACTAGTAAAAATAAACCCACTAATATTTAATAATGTTAGGTACCTACCTAGTACCTACTTAGTTAATAACGTTTATTTCTCTTTATTTAAAATGATAAAATATAGGTAAAAAAAAAATGTATGCATATGTGAATTTAAAAAATAAATAATAATAAAATTTACCATTTTTTAGAAATCTTTCTGACTTTCTCTTTACGAAAAAAATTAATTTTTTGTTTATTTTATCTGAGATAATTTTGCCGCCCCCGGGCAATTGCCCACCGGTGCCCCCCCTTAAAACCGGCCCTAGTTACATAACTTATAAATTATATTATTAATATTATTTATCATGGTTTTTACTTGATCCAAATATGTCGGACAGTGGCGTATCCAGGGGGGGGGGGGTTAGGGGGTTGTAACCCCCCCCGAAAATTGTTAAATTATAACAACGTTTTCATTAATAAATCATTTTAAGATAAGATTCCACAAAAAAAAATTATAACCCCTCCCGAAAAAAAATTCTGGATACGCTACTGATGTCGGAGTAATATATAATATAATATCGTAGTAATATATGTTCGAAGTAATTGATATCGGAGCAGTATTATGGTTGACAATAAAAATTTTTTTTCGGAGTAATACAAGTTCATAGTAGTATATAGTCGTAGCACTGGTGTTATCCCGAAAATGTCTCAAACAACTCGGAAAGTGATGATAACAGCGATACAGATAATGACGAAGAAACCGCATAGAGTAATGCAGCGTCGATAAAAATCAGCGTCGAAAAACACGTCTTTAAAAAAAAAATCGAAATCGAAATTCGTGAGGTGCGTGGTAAAGTGCATTAATTGTTCCTTATTTTTTATTATTACTGCGTACCTACACCGCGACGCCGCTCGCCGCCGAAACCGTATCGCACTCAAGGTCCCGCATCGCAGTGGTGGTCAGTCAGTGGTTATGTACGACGTACTCACGTCGACGTCTGTTGTCAGTGGTCACGTACGACGTACTCACGTCAACGTCTGTGTGCTCTCTGTGACTCCCTTGCCATGACGCCATCGCCTAGGACGCCTCATCTTTGTTTGGAGACCGACACCGCTTCCGCCATACAACATAATATGCCACCCATTACTCCGACAAGCAAAAGCGACGACAAGTCATCAGCGACTCCAGACACCCGGCGCAGCAATGGACGACCTTAAGGTCGAGGTTCTCTTTGAGAACTTTGCCTATTATGAGGTGAGTTCGTGTTGGGATTGGAAAGTGCTGGCTGCCGCGATAGCGTCTGCCGCCAGTTTTCCCCTTAGAGTGTGCGGCGTGCGACTGGGTCTCCAGTCTCCACTCAGACCCAGTTCGGACAAGTATTTTTATCCACTAGTCCACTTTTGGAAAGCTCTCCGCCCTGTTTGATGATTTTTGAAATTTTTAGTGAATTAATATATATTATATGGGAAGTGCGCTCCACCAGACGGAAACAGGTTGCAGCTCAGTGTGTATTACACTTTTAGACAGAGTATAGAACAAAACAGTTTAAATCATTCATCTAGACATTTTTGTTACAGTCTTATGGCTGTAAAAATGGGAAGGAGATGTTTTTTTATATATTTGTTTGACAGAACGTTAGAACTCAGATAATATTTAACATAGACCTAATTAATATTATATTTTAAATTTCATAGCAATCTATTTGTTCTTAAAGGTTTTATTGGGACTCAATTTTTATGCAGCTAAATAAATTAGTTGATTCAGTTCAATTATGTGTTGGGTACTTACCTATCTACAACATATCTCTGAAGTTTTAAGTTGTCATGATTATACGAGCACAAATCATTTTCAAAATTTTTTCTCCTTCCACAGGTAATAACTACCTACCTATGTCTTTATGTGGTAGGTGCACGCCACCAGTCGTCGATTAGTATATTTTCTTTTTTAACAGAGTATATACTGATATATTATATTTTACCTAACATTTACCTGTTACCATTAAAATGGTTTAAGATCTGTAGATTTCTAAATTTTGTATGTACCTATTTCAGATTATTATTAATTTATATATTTCAGGGCTTTGCTACGGGTGTAATGGAAAATAAAGTTCTAGTTTCTTTCCCTAATGAGTGAGTATCTCTTATCTATATTTTATTATAATACTCTTTTAAGCTTTTTAATCAAAACTACAAGTAGGTAGGTACATAAATAATTAAGAACCCATGTTTGTTTTTTACTACGAATAATTAGTACCTATTTCAAAAGAAAGATTACCCTTAAAATAATCATGTCTTATTAAGTCAGGTTTTTTATTAGCATATTTTTAATATTTTTTAAATATATAGGTATACTTAAGACTTCTATTTTATTTTTTCAGGAATTGACCATAAACGAATCAAAACGATAGTGTGTTGCTATTATTATTACATATTATTTATATTATAATATACAGAACTTACCTAAACATAAATAAACGACAATAAATGTTTGTTTATTCAATAAAATGTCAATTTCTAAATTACTAACTAGGTATAGGACTATTGGTATTACACTATTACATCTTTCATTAAAATATTACATTTTTCTTAGGTATTACAATTAATTTATTTCATCATAACTTGCTTATCACTATTGTTGTTATCACTAATCAACTTATAACCACACTAACCGTGCAGAGCGGGGTAAAATACAATTTAAAGTAATATATATTCTTTACCTATATATATTTCATAGTAAAAATTGACAAATGTATACAATTTAAAATATTTATTCTCATCAAAATATAGCTACAATTGAAAAAGTACTTTGATCGATGCAAAGTATACTTGTATACCAATTCAAACATCTTTTAATTTTTTTAATTGAACAACTAGAAGTACCTAAAATTTTGTCAGTTGCTTTGGTCGTTATTCCCATGTTAAACGTGTGTTAGACAAAGACAGAACATCACCCTTAAATAGTATTTTTTAATTTGTTTGTTTTTGAATTTAACACTTCTTGATGGCTCTGAATCGTTGAATTACATTGATCAACAAATAAATAAATAATACATTTAAAATTTTTTCAAAATTCATGGAAATTAATTTATCTAATATTATCTACCTTGGAAAGATGTTCACAAAATTAGGCAGTCATTGATCATTTTAAAACATTAAATTATTAGTACCTTGCCAAATAATAATACATCTTTTATAATTTTTAGTTTGTATCCTGAAACTCAATTCAACTATGACAATGTTCAACTCCCATTGTCAGATGACCAATATAGTACAAAGTTTATTGATAATCAAGAAATAGAAGTAAAATTGGTTGGAGAACCTAATCTTTGTTATGGATGGGTGAAGGCAGTGATAAAAATTATCAGTGGTAACCCATAATCCCAGTTCGTTGTCCAATATTTCAACTCAACAGTTGTAGAAATAGTCTCTCCTGGTAAAATAAGATGCAGTAACATAAATTCACACATTAATGGCAATACATTTTACATGTTTGATATTGATGTACCTGAGGATGTTAGAGAACTGTGAGTATAACAAAAAATAATAATATATAATCAATTTTAATAGTTAAAATTCAACAGTTTTAAAAATATTTTGAATATTAACCATGTTAAATCTTTTAGTGCTAAAATTGATGGAATCCACAAAGATTTTCAGAAAGCAATTTGCAAATGTTCTATAATCCTGATCAGTCAGTGTCGAGTGTTATATCTCGTTCATCATTGACCAGATAAAAGCATTGATGATAGCCGACATGCACTTTAGAAACCTGAACCAAAATATTACGGTACAAAAGAAGACTAAAAAATTTGCCAAGCAACTGTCCAAGCTTCAGTTTAAATCATCATCTTATACTGATGAATTTAATGTATGCAATAATCACATTGGTTTTTCTATTGGTACTCATGACACTAATATCGACCGTGCTCGCCGGATTGACGGTATTACAAATATTGAATTACATAAAAATACTTTTGTTTTTAAAATTTATGGAGGAGTAAGTGAGTTTTATTGTTGCTTTGTAAAATATCTAATAATCTTGTTTTTAGAATAAAGACTCTGTAATGCAAGCTCAAGGAATTTTTGAGTATAAAGAAGAATTTCTTCAAGTTCCTAGACATTGCATGGGAAAAGTAATTGGTAAAAATTTTAGAAACATCCAAGATATTATTGACAAGAGCAGAGTGGTATGTTAATTTATTTATGCGTATAATATTTTTAATATTAGTAATTTGTCATACGAAATAATTTTTACATTTAAAATTTGTCTTTTATTTAAATATATTATGTATTTTTTAAAGCGCTAGCATTATATAATTTTTAGACATTTAGTTATTGTTATTAGCAGGGCTCGTAAGTTCATGCATCTGCATGTTTTTTTTGCTACACAGGAAAACATGCTAACTGTGATACAAATCCGTTTCATAACAATAGTAATAATAATATGAAGTTTGATAGTGCATGTTTTTGCATGTTTTGGGTGTAAAGTCATATTTGGCATATAGATGATTTTTTACAGTCATTAGTGCATATTATTTCATAAAAATATTTTTTAGACAAATATTTGAAAAGTTTCTTCCGATTTTTGATATCTTGTTCCAATCGTCCAATATCGCATGGTAAATTATAACGGTTTTTTAAATTTTTTATTGATTAATTATTCAGCTAATTAATAAAAATATCGAAAATCGGGCTTCTTACGATTGTAAAAAAAGTTCTACTCTACAATTTTTATAATAGGTATTTTTACTGTAAACTACTTCAATAAGCCGTATTACCTACTTGAATTACCAAACCATATGGTTTTATGCCATATTTTGTCTACTAGTGCGCCCTCTTAAGTTGGAAAACATAAAAAATACACTTATAAAATATATATTACTAAATTATCTCAAAATGAAAAACCTAATATTTAATTCCAAATGTTTTCATTGTTGGTGCTGAATAAGGGTGTACACAAATTAGACAAAAATGACTACCTAATTAAAATGTATAAAGATGTCAAAGCTATTTGAACTTCACAAGTATTAATTTCATTTTTTATTTTATTAATTTTGACTGTTAAATATATAAAAATAAAAAGGAATAAAATACTTTTAAAATGTATGGATTTATTCTTATTATTTTAAAATTTGGTCATGTTTTTTTTACATAATGCCTATTTTGAGTTCATAATTTAAAAATGTGAAGGCATATAAATGCATATTTTCGAACTTTAAGTGCATATTTTAATGCATATTTTGACAATTTTTAGTGCATGAATGCATGCTTATTTATGCATTTTTTAGTGCATGAAGTTACGAGCCCTGGTTATTAGTATTTCAATTTAAACAGTTTATATATTTTTTTTTATTATTGTAGATTGAAGTAAACACTTTTGGTTGATGATGAGACACAACTCACCATTCCTTGCGAAGAGGGTCAAGTTCCTTTTGTGTTTGTTGGCACTGTAGAAACGATATACAGGGTGATTTTTTTATCGAAGAACACTCATTATTTCAAAAAGTATTAATGTTTAAGAAAATATTTTTTTACATAGTTTCAAGTTGTTAAAAAACAATATTTTTATTAAAAAATTATATTTTTAAATATTTTTTATCCTTTTAATTTTTTAAGTTTTTTACTTTTTTGAATGACAACATCTAATTTTAATTTGATATTCAAAAACAGAATATTTTTCTGATTATTTTAATACATAAAAATTGAATTTAGGGCAAGTAGTTTATGAGTTATAAGTATTTAAAGTTTAGATGAGCGGAGTAGACTGGTACGGGGTTACCCCGCGAAATGTTTGTCCTCTACTCCGCTCATCTAAACTTTAAATACTTATAACTCATAAACTACTTGCCCTAAATTCAATTTTTATGTATTAAAATAATCAGAAAAATATTCTGTTTTTGAATATCAAATTAAAATTAGATGTTGTCATTCAAAAAAGTAAAAAACTTAAAAAATTAAAAGGATAAAAAATATTTAAAAATATAATTTTTTAATAAAAATATTGTTTTTTAACAACTTGAAACTATGTAAAAAATATTTTCTTAAACATTAATACTTTTTGAAATAATGAGTGTTCTTCGATAAAAAAATCACCCTGTATAATGCTAAATTTCTACTAGAATATCATTTAGAACTCCTTAAAGTATTTATTTAATCTGTTTGTACTCGAAAATAATTTAACTAATTAGAAATTTATATGTTTAGAAACTTGAACCATTCAGTCAAGAAATAATTGGAATGAAGCAAGATTTATGTAGTAACCCACCATCCCAGTCTATTACCAAGTATTTCAACTCAATAGTTACAGAGTCTTGCCTGATGAAATCAAATGCAGTGACATTAATGGCGATACAATTTATACATTCGATATTCCTATACCTGAAGATTTTAATTGTATGTATTACAGAAAAAAACAGTTTAAATAGGTTTATTCATATACTAAAACTGATAAAAAGAATTATTAAAAGAGTCAAAATAAATGTATTTTGAATTGCAATATATAGTTTTAATAGGTATTTTGAAGATGTGGATCACGTAAATCATTCTTTACTAATAGACGATTTATTTAATTCTGGGTTTAGTGTGCCGTTGTCGTCATGGTTTCAGTCGTTTTGAATTGACACAATAAGACACACACATTATGAATCGATGACAATTTTAAATATATTTTGTTCATACAATAGAAATAATCAATCTTAAACATATTTTATACGAGCTATGAATTCCTCGTGTATTTTTCAAATGTTATCAATACCGCGTTTTGAATTATCATCCTTCAATTACTGTACGCTTGTTTACATCTGGCAATGAATGTAAACTACTGGAGTCCACCTCCTTGGTTGTACCACAGAATATATATAAAGTTGAACACTAGCCACTCTACTTTCGTTTACGTATTCCTCTGTACACTAAACAATATTTAAAAACAAATACAATATTATTAATATAAATCTAATCAGTGTTTAATACTCATTTAAGTATTCACTTCGGTTGTGTGTACTATTGTAGTGTTCTATTAGGCCAGGTGACTACTATTGTAGTATAATAGTAAGACAAGTGGCTACTAGAATATTAAAGTTGCAGGTAGCAGACACTTCCTCTGATGATGTCGTCATATTAGTTGATTAAATAAAGTAGACAGTTGTTGTATATCGTGAATTTATTATTAGTACTTCAATAATTTTGAAAAAGTCCAAATAATGTTATACAGAGTGGCGTGTAAGTACTTGCTCTAATGGGTGGTCGTACACGTCTGAATACAGGCCGATTCGGGCTCCCTTATATATGAGGTTCCCCGTACCCCTTGCCTATAGATACTGTATCTTGGGTCTCACGGATGTGATTTGTGTGGTCATTGTTCCAGCCCACGCATTCACGATTTCCCAATATATTCTGCGTATTACTAAAATATGCTGATAATTAATCTATGGTCTATTTCAGCGATTCTTAAATTGTGGTCCGCGGCCCCCTAGGGGTCCGCGACACTCTTGCCGGGGGTCCGCTACACTATAAATGAGTCCGAACTTCGTTTAAAACTTTCAAATATTGAGCCTAATATAGAAAAATTAATGTCAGAAATGCAATATCATCCTTCACATTAAGGATACATATAATAATTTTAAATTATAAGATTAATTTTAAATATCATAAAAGTAAAACAATAATTAATTTTCTATATAAGACAAAATGTTAATGTAATAATATTAAATATAACAAAAATAATTAACAAAATATTTTTTATACTTATTATGTTTTTATTTATTTTTCTTTTAAATATATTGGTAATTGTAACATGAAATATTTTTTAATAAAAAATGGTAATTCCTAACAAAATTAGTGGTCCGCGATTTAAAAATGTCCTTCATCAGGGGTCCGCGTAATAAAAAGTTTAAGAACTGCTGGACTCTATTTCATTAAAATAATCATTTTACTCTTTTATATTTGAATATCGTCGTGTTCAGTGCTTCTGTAAAATATTATATCCGCCTATTTTTGAACCCTTCCGCCTGAGTTAATCAGTAGCTTGTCTCCTTATGTTAAACAGGAGGAAACCTAACCTATTTCCGTTTTTAATATCCAATTTATGCCGATCTACAGTATATTATGCTAACTATGCACCCGTGAAATTGGTTTTATTGTTACATAGTAACTTGCTTACTACACTATCCCACCTATGTATTTTAAATTACATATTAATGTAATCATATATGATTTATATTGTTTCAATTTTAGACCTATGATAATTTTCAAAAATAATATCTAGGTAACCAAGAAACTTATATAAAAATATAAATGATATTAATTTAGCAGAGTGGTATGTTAATATATTTATGCATATAAAATTTTTAATATTAGTAATTTGTCATACACAATAATTTTTGCATTTAAAATTTGTCTTTTATTTAAATATATTATGTATTTTTTAAAGCCCTAGCATTATATAATTTTTAGATATTTAGTTATTGTTATTAGTATTACAATTTAAACAGTTTATATATATATTTTTTTTATCATTGATTGAAGTAAACACTGTAGGGACCTGAACAAATAAGTATAGAAAAACAAATGGGACTGGTGAAAGAGTGGTTACATAGTATTCACAGTACTTTTCCAGCTTACCAAGATACTGTGATACCTAATTATACGATGCAAAGGCAAAATGACCGGTAAAATAGTACTATTATATTATATATATTTGCTGTGTTGTGAAAATGTATTTGTTTATATTACTCTGCTATACATTTAAATAGTTAGATACAGGATAGGGGTTATTAATTGGTCTTTCAACCGTGAAAACAGTAAAATTGTATGGTCGAAACTCTCAAACACTAGTTGGACTTAGTGTTTTATTTTTATTGATATAGTAATATTAAAATTCATTGTACACATATTTTATTTGTGCTTAAACTAACTCATTTTTTATTGGTTTAATTCATAACAATTTTTAAGAGTTAAATTGCATACAATATATATATAATTGACATGAATTGTTCAGGAGTTAACATTTTCATAATTAAATATATGAACACTTTCAGTTTGACATTAGTTAAGTAAGAGTTGTGTTTTCAAATGTTTAGTTTATTACAACTAAAAAATAAATTAATTTTCTTATTTGTTATAAGTTGAGCCAATTTACACAATACATTCAGTGTATATTTAAGATATAAGTTCCAATATTATTTAGATTATTGGTAAACAAGCTATTAGTTTGTCCAAATTATTTCTTCATATATCAACGCATGAATATAGACTATGGTAAATAATAAACTAAAACTTTATTTAAATATTTTGTTTTGACAAATCAACATTGGAGAATGTTATTAAAATAGATTTTCATTATATTATAGTAGTAAATTTTAATTTGCTGTATTTTTAATTTTTGTACTTGATAAACATAAAATAATAGGTTCAAAACATTTTATGCAATTTTTCACAAATTTCTCACCCTCATCAATTGTACAATATCTTTATTTAGTCATCTGCTAATTATTTAACTATAACTATTGTTTATTTGTTTTTATTTGTACAGTAACTTTAATGCTGAAAGTGAAAACATGAATAGATACCTGAGTAACTCTATGGGAAGAGAAAGTAAATAGGTTTCATGAACAAAATATTTTTGAATATGGATATCGTTTTGTTTTCTGTGATATTGAAATAACATCTAAGTATTGACATTCCAATTTCTTAATCTCTATGTTCAATAACCAAAAACATTTTTTTTTTTTTTTATATAAAAGGTTTTTGAATTAAAATCCAATTTCTAGAATGTGCAAATTGTGTTGTCTGTTATCAAGTAATTATTATGAACATTAGATCATAATATACAATAGATATAAGACAATGGGAAATATTAATAACACAAACACCAAAGTTATTCTATTGTCTTAAATTATTTAAAACAGTTTTACTAGATTATATTTTATTTCACATTTCATCATTATCCCATTTCGATTTCAATATAAAATTTTTTTATAGTATAATATTATTGATGATTTTGAAATAAATTATGTTGATTATGTTCAGTATATTTCTTCTTTACCTGGCACCATACATTTTTTCATTTTTTCACCATTTATTACTTAATTTTTATTTTTTTTAGAATCCAGCACTTCTAGATTTGTTGACTGTCACGTAGATGTAAATTGGGTCCAACCAATCCAGCCATCGCGATCAATTATACCACCTTTAGATAAAGATAAAACATGTGATCAGAGTTGGTGTTCAATTTCTTGAAAAAGAAAAGAAAAAAAGAAAATAAATTGTTTTAGTTTTAAACAGTGTAATACAATGTCTTAATTTTTTAAACAACTATATTAATTTAAATTTAAAAATACCTACATAATGTCTTAATATGCTATGTACTGTTTTCCGTTAACTGTTTTGTAACTTTTTGCGTTGGACAAATTTAATAAAAAAAATACAATGTACATTCTATCAATAAATCATATTAATAAATCAATTTATAATTGTATATTCTATAAATAGTGAATTTGTGTAACACTAAATCACTCTATTAAAAGCATATTTATACATCTTAATTTCGGACTTCGTTTCAAGCTGACATAGTCAAGAACAAAACGATAACAGTATGACATACTCATGTACCACAATTTAAAATATACAGGTTGCGCTTACACATGTGTTGACAAGTGACAACCCATTTAATTACTAGATCAACTTTATGTTTGAAGTCAATTGTAAAACATTTATAATATACACTAAATAAAAATGATAATTAAATACAACGTTCCTTGCATAAGTTGTTATAAAATCAGTTCAAAAATATTAAAGATAGTTACTTAAGCATACTTTTTTTTTACAAGCATTTATAAATTGCCCTATTTTTATTGCTAAGGTTTGAACATTTATAACAAAGTTTCTCATATAAGTAGTTTACATATATCTATTAATTAGTTAATTGATCTATGGTAGTTTATATTGTAATCAGAAAATCTAAAAAAATATCTAATACATGTAAATTTGTTGTTATACAGTTTTTTTTATTGTCGTAGTTTTAAGTTAAAGGTTGGAAGAAATTAGATATGCACTATGTAGATACTAGCTATTAGTTGTTTTGATGTATTTTGAGAGCCAGGAGTATGGTTACAATGATTCTAGGACGTGCCTCTTCCATCATCCCTATTCAATTGACGTTTCCCCCCAAACAAGATACCCCCGGACACCACAGACAAAAGTTTTAAAGTTTAATTAGTAAATTATTATTATTGTTTATTAAAAAATAAAATACAATGCAAATCAAAAAATGTACAAATTAATAAATTAATACCCTAATTAATATATAAATATAATTCAATAATAGTATTACGCTATTGTCAATACAAAGTTCACTGATATATAGATGTTAAAAAAATATTAAACTATAATATACAAATTGCAAATGCAAATAAATAAATGTACTGTTTATGAGATTTCTTATTAAATAATTGTTGAATTAATATTTTATAAATATAATTCAATAACACTTTCACATAACTTTGGTTTATCAATCATTTTTGTTACGGCGCGAACACAGTAATATACTTATATATAATATCTATGTACCGTTTATATGAAATCGTTATCTGTAAAATTATCATTGTGGGCTTGTGCCGTATTATGTCCTCACGTATTATTTAGTTGCTGTCGGACCAGTCAAGTGGTACGACACACGCAAAACGAAATATACAGTCCACTTATTATATAATAAAAGTTTCTAGTTTTTTATTTTGGTTTTGTTCAATAAAAACAATCTATTTAGAAACAAACATTTTGGTCCAATCGAACCGGATTGACTAGCAATACATTTTGCGTAAATACGTCCCGCGAATTCGTTGTCGTTCAGTGGACATATTGTCTAGTTCAAACTTTGAAGTGTATGTTGTTCTGTAGTTCGTTTTGAATACATATAAATAAATATAACGTCCCCGCGGACACAGTAACCGTGCAGTGGCATTATTATAGTCAAATCGAACAATCAAAAAAGAAGAAAAAATTGTCAAAGTGGTCCTGTTTTTCAATGCTCTAGTGTGCAGTGGCTGAACATTCATCGGTCGACATACAACCAGGTGAGTGAGCTAAAAATATTAGAAAATAAGGGCACAAGTTTCCATTCATTTTCCTTTAGGCACATTCTATAAAAAAAAAAATTAAAAACGTATATATACAAATAAAATTTTCATAAGGTTGAAAATGTAAATTAAGGGAAAAACCAAAAACGTAATAATGCAGGGTAGTCAGTCAAATGAATTGGCCGTCTATGTATTGAGGCGAGGTCAATTAAAGGCGCAGCTGACAAAATTCCAAACATATATCAATAATGTAGATGTGGATAACAATATCATGCAGATAAAGATACGTCTAGAGAAAATAAAAGAACTTTGGACTGAGTTTGATGTAGTTCAGAATAATATCGAGGCATTAGATACCAGTAATGAGCAATTGGACTACAGAGATACGTTTGTAAATTTATATTTTGATATAGTTGCAAAAGCAGAGACTATGGTACAAGGTTCAAATGTAGTTAGTGGCATAAACAGGTTGAGTTTACCGGGTAATCTTGCGCAAGGAGGTGACCCGGCGATAAAAATGAAGCCGTTAGAATTACCGTCGTTTTCGGGAAAATTTGAAGAGTGGTCCACATTTAAAGATTTATTTTTGACCATGGTACATTTAAATCCAACAATAGCAGGTGTACAAAAATTTGTATATTTAAGAATGTATTTGTGTGGGGACGCATTGGCTCTGATACAAAATTTAGCGACCACAGGTGACAATTACTCGATTGCATGGAACACTGTCGTAGAACGATATGACAATAAGCGTATTCTCATACAATCTTATACGAGAAATATATATGAATTAGAACCTATGCAAAAGGAGTCGAGTGTGTGTTTAAGGAAGTTTACTGCTGATTTAAACATGAATATGCAAGCTTTAAAGGCGTTAGGTCATGATCCAGATGCCTGGGGTGCGCTATTATTGCATGTGATTCTAGTCAAATTAGATTATAATACAATACGAAATAGGGAATCTGTGGCGACCAAAGATATATTACCCTCTATATCGGAGTTGACAACATTTTTAAATGAACGGTGTAAAATATTAGAGGCGATTGATACCTCAAAAAATTTATCGAATAAATTAAATACGTCGCATTATACGCAGTCTAAGCAAAATTATCGCAATCCAAATGATAAAAACGTCCAATTTAAAAATAATAAAAAAGTAAATGCATTTGTTGCTACCAATCGTTTAGCATGTTATTTATGTAAACAGTCACATCCTATTTACAAGTGTCAACAATTTATCGCACTCAATGCGAATGAAAGAGCACTAAAGGTTGATGAACTAAACCTATGTCGCAATTGCCTGGGTACGGGACACACGGATGTACAGGTGTGCAGGTCGAAAAGGGTATGCTCCAAATGTGATAAAGCGCATAATACGTTGCTGCATGGTGATGTACCACAAGTTGTACAAAATCCGTCTACGTCAAATGTGTCTAATTCGGAAGTGGTGGTGAGTCACGCCGCCCGTGGTCAAACGAGCGCACAAGTACTATTAGCGACTGCAGAGGTACATATATTAAATGCATGCGGCGAACAAGTTGTATGCAGGGCATTACTAGATAACGGCTCACAGATAAATATTTTGACCGAAGCAATGGCACAGCGATTAGGGCTTGCGAGAACAAAAATAAATAAATCAATTACAGGTATAAATGAGGTAGTGAGTCGTGCCGCGTATCAGGTAACCGCGTCTATTAAGTCACGTATAAATAATTATTCTGCCACCTTAGACATGCTGGTATTGCCAAAAATTACCGGAAAACTGCCGACCAACAATATCGATACTAACAAATGGTCTATACCCACGGATATTATGTTGGCAGATTCTAGGTGTTTTAAGCCGGAAAAAATTGATTTATTGATTGGTGCCGACACCTATTGGGAAATAATGTGCTCGGGAAATTTCAAACTGCACACAATGGGTCCGTACTTGCAGCAAACAATGTTCGGCTGGATTATTGTAGGACCAGTGAATGAAATTTCATCAAAAAATAATTCAATGGCTTGCTTTGTAATAAGTGAAGATAATTATTCAAATTTGGAAAAGGATATTGAAGAATTTTGGAAAATCGAAGAATTTTCCAATGCAAATATGGACGAAACGTCGGAAGATAGTATTTGTAGAAAACATTTTGAAGATCACGTATCAGTAGATTTCACGGGAAAATTTGTAGTAAAATTGCCGTTTCGAGATAACGTAGACATGTTAGGCGAGTCATATAACATAGCGTTAAAAAGGTTTTTATCGTTAGAGCGTCGTCTCGGGAAAAATCCCGAGCGATATAGTCAATATAAAGGGTTCATGGAAGAATATGAGCATTTGGGACATATGGAGAAAGTTAATGAGGACAATGACCTATCAGTGAAAACGTATTACATGCCACACTCTTACGTTCTTAATGATAGTAGCCGATCAACTAAATTACGAGTGGTATTTGACGGCTCATGCAAATCAGAATCTGGATTATCGCTAAACGATGTATTGTTAAAAGGTCCTATATTACAAGATTGACCTCACATTAATTGTTACGAGATTTCGTACACATAAATATGCATTTTCAGCTGATATTAAAAAAATGTATAGGCAGGTATGGGTTGATAATGCAGATAGAGATTATCAGCGCATATTGTGGCGCGGTGATCCTAATGAGCCTATTAAGAAATATAGATTGTGTACAGTAACCTACGGAACGGTACCTGCAAGTTTCTTATCGGTTGCGTGTCTTCATAAATCGGCGGATGTAAATAAAATACGTCCGGAGATAGCTCAGATAATAAAGCATGATTTTTGTGTTGACGATTGTTTAACGGGCGCCTCAACATTATCGGAGGCTTTAAATTTGCGTAATGAATTAATTAAATGTTTAAGTAACAATGGATTTGAATTAAGCAAGTGGACAGCTAATCATGCCGATTTATTAAAATATATACCAATTCCTAATGAAAACTCACTATACTCGTTAAATATGGAAACTGAAGCAATAAAAACATTAGGTTTGTATTGGGATTCAAACTCGGATAGTTTCATTTATAAAGTGTCTTTACCAATACCTGAACATAAGATAACCAAACGAAGTATTTTATCTAATATAGCACGTCTATTTGACCCGCTCGGATTGCTCGGACCGGTTATCGTGATAGCTAAAATATTAATGCAACAATTATGGAAATTAAAAATAAATTGGGATGATGAATTATCAACAGAAATTCAAGTAAAATGGAAAAAATATTTAAAGGATTTAAATCAATGCAATAATCTAAGTGTCCCGCGCTGGTTGCAGTGTGACGACACAGAAAAAATATATATACACGGATTTGCCGATGCATCGTGCAAAGCGTACGGGGCTTGTTTATATGTAGTATGCACGCGCGCGGACGGTAGTCGCCACTCACAACTAATATGCGCAAAATCAAGAATTGCGCCGATAAGTATAATAACAATACCGCGATTAGAGTTATGCGCTGCCTTACTATTATCAAAATTAATAAAAAAAATAGTTCCAGCGTTACGAATTAATGTTACGAATATTTATTGCTGGAGTGATTCTAAGGTGGTACTAGCGTGGATCGCATCGGATGCAATGCGTTGGAAACCGTTCGTTGCAAATCGTGTGAGTAAGGTTCATAATTTAACATCACAGTATTCATGGTCGTATATTAATACGAAGGAGAACCCGGCTGACATTTTATCCTGGGGATGTGATGTTCAAGATATACAAAAATGTACATTGTGGTGGAACGGACCCGCATGGTTGACGGACGAGCACGCGAGATGTGAAGAACTCTGTCAAGTACACGAAGATGAGGAGACACTAGGTGAAGAGCGAAAGCAGTCGAACACAGTAGTAATGGTCGCTGAAGTAAAGGCAAATTATTTTATACAACTGTGTGAAAAATATTCAAAATTAAATCGGTTTCAGCGTGTGTTTGCCTATACATTGAGGTATGTGCATAATATTTCAAGTAAATTAAGAGCAAAAGAAAGATACTCGGGTCCTCTCAGCAATGACGAGATCCAAAAATCGGTAAAAATATTCATTAGGCTCTTACAAAATCAATTTTTTGGGGAAGCGCTTCAAAATAAAAAATTGCAGTCATTAAATCCTTTCTTCGACAACGACAGTATATTGCGTGTGGGTGGCCGACTTGGAAACGCGACAGATTTAACTTATGACCAACGGCAACGTCCGTGAAGTTGGCACCCCCACATTGAGATATCGACTTCAAACCAGTGACAATATTTTGCAACTGATTTGCAACAATTTGCAACACCGATTTTGAAATTTGCAACTTCGCCCATTCTCCGGGAAATCCGATTTCCCGATGGGGGCGCCAACTTCACGCAGCACCCCCACTTTGAGATATCGACTTCAAACCAGTGCCAATATTTTGCAACTGATTTGCAACAATTTGCAACACTGGTTTTGAAATTTGCAACTTCGCCCATTCTCCGGGAAATCCGATTTCCCGATGGGGGCGCCAACTTCACGCAGCACCCCCACTTTGAGATATCGACTTCAAACCAGTGCCAATATTTTGCAACTGATTTGCAACAATTTGCAACACTGGTTTTGAAATTTGCAACTTCGCCCATTCTCCGGGAAATCCGATTTCCCGATGGGGGCGCCAACTTCACGCAGCACCCCCACTTTGAGATATCGACTTCAAACCAGTGCCAATATTTTGCAACTGATTTGCAACAATTTGCAACACCGGTTTCGAAATTTGCAACTTCCCCCATTCTCCGGAAAACTCGATTTCCCGATGGTACTACTATCAATTATCACGGCCATTTTTTTAAAATTATTTTTTTATTTATTAACGTTATAAATTATTAATAAATAACACCTAATTCAAAAATAATTTATAATAGGTACTTATTTAGGTATAAAATATAATATAATTCATAAAAGTTATAAAAAAAAATTAATAGCTCTGAGGGATTTAAATTATAATTATAAATTTAATTATAACTTTTCGAATTCCGTTTATTATTATTTAGTACTTATAGGTACACAATTAAATTTTTTAAGTTTTTAGAAAAAAATATATGATTTTTAACATATTATGGTACATTGACAAGTTTTATAATCTTTAAAGTATTATAATTATAAATAACTATTTAACAAATGTGACTTGATTTTAATAATTAACCTAGGTACTGTATTATTAATAAATAATAGAATAAAAATTACTTATATCAATATAGACAATAAAAAAATAATTCGCAATATTCTGGATCTATACATCATATAGCTATAGATCCGTTAATTGTGCACTATTGGACAACACATCAGCTTGTAATATACAAAGATTTAAGAAAATCTTATTGCAAAGTATCAATTGATGCTACTGGAGGCCTAGTGAAGAAACTTAAACGTTCTTCACTGAATTTATTATCTTCACATATATTTTTATATGAAGCTGTAGTCAATACGCACTATGGGCAAATTTCAATAACGCAAATGGTTTCGGAAAAACAAAATACAATCACTATATTTAATTGGCTCGGTGAATGGATAAATTCAGGTATTCGAATACCTAATGAGGCAGTTTGTGATTTTTCGTATGCACTATTAGGCGCAATAAAGCGAGCATTTTGTGAAGGAAAAAGTTTAAAATCATATGTAGAAACTTGTTTTGATATACTCATTGGTAAATCCCATAAAATGCCCACGTGTTATGTTCGAATTGATGTTGCACATATTATTAAGATTTTTTGTCGTATTAAACATTTAACACAAGTAAAAAACAAACATTTAAAACATTTTTATGTTAGAGGATTAAGGTTACTTGTAACATCAACTGAGTTAAATGAGTTTGAAGAAGATTTAACTGCATTGCTAACAGTTATGTATTGTGAGACTGATGGATATTCTGAAAACAATGAAATTACACCATCTGAAGAAAGCAGACAATTTATTTTAAAAAAAATTAAAGGCAATGACATTGATAGTACCCAAGAATGTATTGATACAAATCTCAGATTAGAAACGGAGAACGATTGTGAAGATAGTGAAATATCAGATAGCTTAAAAGAGTACCTTGATAATATTGAAAGTATAAGCCGTAATAATTCTAAGGTCAAGGGTGATAGAATTTCTGCATATTTTTTGCCAGATCTTGCCAAAGATGTTTTAAGAATTTGTAAGCACTTTCCTCTGTGGACTTGTCTTATGCAAAGTAAGTTTAAATCACCTTATTCGATTGGTTCTTCAGCACCAGTTGAAAGCGATTTTTCTGAATTAAAGAATCAAATTCTACGAAATGATGTAAAGCCTATGTCTATCGACCGATTTGTAATTAAACATCTACAATCTATTAATAGCAATACAAAATTATTTAGATCATCTCAGTTACGGAACGATGTATCCATAGAATCAAATGATGTGAATAGTATATCAAGTAGTGATAATGAATCATGTAAAAATTATTGTATAGCGGAGAACTACTCTGAAATGGACAAGATTAAGGATAATTCTTTAAATAATTTATCTCAAGATGATGGTATTGGCAGCACTAAGGCACTTAAAAAAAAAACTAATTTATCTGATTCTTATATTTCAAACAGTAGTGATTCTGATGTTTCAAATAAAACAAATGATACCTATGATGAAATCGAAAACTGGAGAGGAAAAGGTAACGATGGCGATATGACACCCAAATTAAAAGAAAAGCCCACTAAAAAAATTAGGTTAACAACATACATGGAACCTATGCCAGAAATAGAAAGAGTATTAAAGAGAAAAAACACGAGGTCCAATTTAAACACAATGTTAAAAAATGGAAATATATGTACACCAGTTAATATATCAAAAATTAAGTACATGGTCCACAATACATGTCCATTCGATTCTATTAGTAGTGCTATAGCTATGGCGTATATTGATTATTCAACATACAGAGAATTTATCGATAACAGTAGTAATATATTTTTTAAGTTTTGTAAAGATCTTGCACTAAATGGTTCATCAAAAAAAATTTACACAGAACGTGTAAATTTCATTAAAAATATATTCAGTGCAGATGAAGGAATAACGCATGTTAGACTTATTGATGCAAAATGTAACATATCATATATTATAACTTCGTTATTAAAGAATGCTCCATCCGCAGTCGAAGATATGAACTGTAATAATCAAAATTGCCAGAATTCAAATAGACAAGCACCATGTCCAACCATAATTTTAAGATTTCAACAAGATTTGTCTGGAATAGAAGATTTACTTAACATATATACGCAGGTTAAAGAGTATGATTGTACAGAATGTGATAATGGAATGTTGAAAACTAAAAGAAACCTTCAAAGCCATTTATTCATTGAAACGGATGTATTTGAGGATGATCGCCAATTTAACATCAACGAAATCCCTAAGAATTTAAATACGAATAATAAAAGGTATGTAATATTATTGTATACATTAGGTAAATAATATTTTTGTGTACATTTAAAAAATAAAATTTTAAGTACAAAAAAATATAAATATATCAATGTTATATAAATGTTTATAAATAATACAATTTATGTATATATATATACATATATGTATTATATAGTTTAATTAATATAAAGTGCTTTTTCTAATGTTCAATTCTCTCTCCTTCAATTTTTTTTCTTTGCAAACATATTATTTTATCTTTTTAAAAGTTTAATTTCATGGTTACTGTAGAATAAATCTTTCAATTCTTGTGGATAAGCATCATGTTCAGGGACATTTGTTTATAGTGACAGAAACTGTTTGCAAATGTACCCTTTTCTTTTTTTAAAAAAGATGCAAATTTATATTGATATTTTACTGTAATACCAGAACCTACCTATATCACCGATATTTAGATATCTCATTAGAAGTATATTCTGTTTTGTTCTTTCTGTGGTTGATTTATTTTCATGATACTCTTCGAGTTTTAATTCATTCTTTAGTCTGCTTTTTTAATTTTTAAATAAATCTTTTTTGATATTTTAATTATTTTAGTAACGCATGCTCATAATCTAATACCTCTTTCTATCCATCTTATAATTTACAAAATAACTCTTAAATTGGTATTATAATATAAATATTTGACAAATTAATTTTTAAAAATTGTTTGTATTGACAGATATAACATACATTTATAAATTTATCACTTTAAGATAAAATGCTAATTAATTGGTGTCAATTATTTTCAGTTTTATACTATATGGTATAGTGACCTGGGGATTTGACCATTATGTAGTGCATATTAGGAGAAGTGAAAATAATTGGGAAACTCATAACGACATCCAATCAAAAATTAGAAGATTTAGCCAAACCCAGAACACAAAATTAAATGCACATCTACTAATATATATTCAAGTCGATTAAATAGTGTATATATCTTAATATTGTAAAATAGTTGAAAGTTAATTAAATTTGTTAACTGTAAAGTAAGAGATAGAAGTTCCTATGTAATTTGTTCATTAGTAAAAGAAAACATTTCTTTTAAATTTGTCTTTTATATTTTTAAAATTTTATTTATCATACATGTATTTGATTAAATTAAAGTGAAGTTGTTTTTAAGTGTAAAACATAATTAATTTTAATAAAGGAAAATTGTTTGAAATATTGTAAATTACTCCATGGTAAATGGACAATAGGATATTCATTATGGTGGAAATCAGATATAAATTAATTTTACATAGAGGAATCTATGTTCTGAATGAATTGAAAATATTGGTGTTTGTCTGGGAAGTTGATTTAGTATGAATTTAAAAGGATATCATTTTTCAAAAATAAAGAGTTGAACCTACTTTATGGGTTGAAAATGATAGCATTAAGTAAGAATGCATCATAATGTTTAATACAATTAGCAGAAAACTAATGTTTTATATTTAATTAATTTTATAATATTGTCACTGGATTTAAGTCAAAAAATCAAGTGGTGGTTATACGTGATATGCCAAATATTAGTTATATTTATGAGTTATTATTGTTCGTAATGTTTTAATTAATTGATTTTATTTTACCTTTATATTAATTAATTTTATTATTTTTATTAATCGTATTTATTAATCAATATTTTGAATAATAAATTCTTATAATATACATAGTTTTTATTAATTTTTGTAAGAAATAATTTATTTATAATTTTTAAGAAAAATAACTCAAAATGTAATTTATAATATTGATTAATAAATACTATAAAAATTAAAATTAAATAAAAAATGTTAACCAAAATGTCAATTTAATATTTATTAATCAATATTATAAATTAAATTTGAGTTATTTTTCTTAAAAATTATAAATAAATTATTTCTTACAAAAAATAATGCAATTTTTTATAATAATGACTAATAATTAATATATATAATTTAAAAAAATTGCGCAGTAATAACCAAGGCTCGATCTTTTAAGTAATTTTAGCACCAAATCAAATACACAGGTCATATTTTTTTTATTGTCTATATTGATATAAGTAATTTTTATTCTATTATTTATTAATAATACAGTACCTAGGTTAATTATTAAAATCAAGTCACATTTGTTAAATAGTTATTTATAATTATAATACTTTAAAGATTATAAAACTTGTCAATGTACCATAATATGTTAAAAATCATATATATTTTTCTAAAAACTTAAAAAATTTAATTGTGTACCTATAAGTACTAAATAATAATAAACGGAATTCGAAAAGTTATAATTAAATTTATAATTATAATTTAAATCCCTCAGAGCTATTAATTTTTTTTTATAACTTTTATGAATTATATTATATTTTATACCTAAATAAGTACCTATTATAAATTATTTTTGAATTAGGTGTTATTTATTAATAATTTATAACGTTAATAAATAAAAAAATAATTTTAAAAAAATGGCCGTGATGATTGATAGTAGTACCATCGGGAAATCGAGTTTTCCGGAGAATGGGGGAAGTTGCAAATTTCGAAACCGGTGTTGCAAATTGTTGCAAATCAGTTGCAAAATATTGGCACTGGTTTGAAGTCGATATCTCAAAGTGGGGGTGCTGCGTGAAGTTGGCGCCCCCATCGGGAAATCGGATTTCCCGGAGAATGGGCGAAGTTGCAAATTTCAAAACCAGTGTTGCAAATTGTTGCAAATCAGTTGCAAAATATTGGCACTGGTTTGAAGTCGATATCTCAAAGTGGGGGTGCTGCGTGAAGTTGGCGCCCCCATCGGGAAATCGGATTTCCCGGAGAATGGGCGAAGTTGCAAATTTCAAAATCGGTGTTGCAAATTGTTGCAAATCAGTTGCAAAATATTGGCACTGGTTTGAAGTCGATATCTCAATGTGGGGGTGCCAACTTCACGGACGTCCAACGGCATCAAATTATCATACCATATTCGTGTCATTTTGATACACTAATTTTTAGAAACGAGCACGAAATGTCATTACATGCTGGGCCCCAAGCCATGTTGGCAAATGTACGATTAACATATTAGCCGATAAACGGTCGTCGAACCGCTCGAAAAGTCGCCCATAAATGTATTGCGTATTTTAAAAATAAACCTAATATTGTAGAACCAATTATGGGTGTTCTACCAAAACCAAGAGTGAACCGACCACTAAGATGTTTCGAAACTACGGGTGTTGATTATGCGGGACCAATATTAATGAAGTCGCACGCACGTAGAAACGCACAGCTACAGAAGGCATATATATGCATTTTTTTATGTTTTGCAAGTAAGGCTGTACACATAGAGCTAGTATGTGATCTCAGCACGGATGCCTTTATAGCTGCCTTGCACCGGTTTATATCAAGAAGAGGTAAATGCCATACCATATATTCCGATAATGGTACTAATTTCGTGGGTGCTAACAAAAAGTTAAGTGATTTGTCCACACTTCTTCTTTCCGAACAGCACAAAATTCGCGTTCAAGACACGTTAACACTACACGAAATTACGTGGAAGTTCATACCGCCTCGGTCCCCCCATTTTGGTGGTTTGTGGGAGGCTGCAGTCAAGGCCGTAAAAAAACACTTGAATCGAACGATTGCAAATTCACGGTTAACTTATGACGAACTATATACGGTACTAACACAGATAGAATGTTGCTTAAACTCCCGTCCTTTAATCCCTATATCCGAGGACCCTACGGATTTGAATGTCCTTACTCCCGCCCACTTTCTAATAGGTAGCTCACTACGCGCACTGCCTGAGCCTGACGTGAGAGATATATCTATTAATAGATTGTCTCGATGGCAAAGAGTGCAGCAACTTGTCCAACACGTTTGGGCACGATGGAGCAAGGAGTATTTGGGGCAACTACAATTACGAAACAAGTGGTCCAAATGCAGAGGACCATCCATTCAACCTGGGACGATGGTGTTAATAAAGGAGAATAACTTACCTCCTTTAAAGTGGTTATTAGGCAGAGTCACAAATGTTCACCCAGGACCTGATGGTGTCATAAGGGTAGCTACGGTGCATACGAATTTGGGATCAAAAAAGTGAGCTGTTCGGTTATTATGTCCATTACCCATAGACACATGAATCACCCAGGTTACGTGTTAATTAATTCTGTTTATATAATTTTTTACTATACATATTTACCTCATTAAACGTGTACAACTGTAGCACACTATTTATAAATATTATATAGGTCAGCTAATATCAACTATTAAGTATCCATATTGATGCATAAGCATATATATATATTTATTATTTAATGACCGACCATTGTTATCTTCATTGTAGCGATAGTCAATAATATTGTGTATTATTTTTTGATCTTTGTTCACCTATGTAGTGAACATTAGTTCTACCACCTAATTATTCGATTACATTTATTATTATTATTTTTATTAGTTATTGTAAAATCATATGAAACCTGTTTGTAATAATTTATATTTAATAAGTCATTTATATTGTTTAATTATTCTTTTTTATAATATGTATTATATTTTGAAACCGTGTTTCAAGGTGGGCCCATGTTACGGCGCGAACACAGTAATATACTTATATATAATATCTATGTAATGTTTATATGAAATCGTTATCTGTAAGATTATCATTGTGGGCTTGTGCCGTATTATGTCCTCACGTATTATTTAGTTGCCGTCGGACCAGTCAAGTGGTACGACACACGCAAAACGAAATATACAGTCCACTTATTATATAATAAAAGTTTCTAGTTTTTTATTTTGGTTTTGTTCAATAAAAACAATCTATTTAGAAACAAACAATTTTATTGTGGTGTAACTGTAAAACAAATGACCGTTCAACCGTTCACTGGTTGTTTATACACGATATAATGTTCAACAAATTTTGATTTGTTTTGAATTGTTTACGGACATTTTCTGTTTCCAATTTTTTTAGTTTTTTTCTATGAATGTCAGCGAGATTAGAATGCCTAAATGATTTTCCTTAAATCAATGCTTTATTATTAATATAATAATACTAAATATTAATCATTAAGAATTAAAAAAAAAAACATTTATTGTTTTAAATCATTGTTGTCAATTAAATTGCTACGATGATTTATCCTAATAATTATTGTAATTGTACTTAATGACCAATCCTTATATTATTACCTGCATGATTTTAATATCCGATAAAATTACGAAGATGAAATTAAGGCAATAGCAAGGGCTCGGCGAGAGAAGAGCGTAACGAAAACAAACTTGCAAAATTCAGAACAAAATTTACTAGAAATATAACAGAATAGTTATACTCATATAATTGCTACAATTTTTTATAGTGTACTTTGTATACATATTGCAATTATTTACATGTGTTCACAGAGCCGTAGCAATGTTCATTAGCGCTCCTGGCCATTTATCATATATCCGCCCTTGTAAAATTTTTTTACCCCCCCCCCTCACGCATACACACCCACACACAAACATACCATACATAATAATAAGACTTGCACACGCACATGCACAGGTCGTTGACGGTTAACCGGGGTAGAGCACAGTTTTAAATGATTAATACCTACTCTCCGTATACCTACGACATAGCCGAATGTCACCGAGCTATAATACATGAAATATAATATATTTTAGTTGCAGTTATTATTATTATTATTTTTTACGTATTTATACTATTACACAGGACGCGCGTCTGTGAGTTTTCGATGAACACAAGAGAAAAAGTGCAATCCAAACGGTGCTCGGCTGTAATAATAATAGTAATAACAATAATCGTATCTAAATACATTTATTATTACTATTTTTAAGCGCGAGTTATATATATATATAGGTATATGTATATATATATATATAACTCGCGCATATAGGTATATGTATATATATATATATATATGTGTGTGTGGGGGGGTGGGGGGGGGGTGGTGGTGTACATTGAACAGTGTGTGATTCTTTTTTTTTTTGTATCTCTAACCAGACCATATACCTATATTAGGTATCAGAAAACATAAGAAATTTTTTAATTTTAAAAACAAATGATGACTAGGTATTAAAGAATAAAGTAAAACAACATAATATAATATATTATAGACATTATGCTCGGACAAGTAAACAACAAATAAGACAGTAAATAATTTTGAATTATTTTGGCAATACAAGTTTTCCCTCCAGAACAATGATATTTCAAATATTAATTATTAAGTTTTTTTTTATCATATTCTGCAGGTCCTTATAGCTTTTCATATTTTTTTTCGCTCAAGCGCACACACCACCACCGCCGCCGCCAGATCGCGTTCAGATTATTTGGGGAGGGGTGGAAAAAAAAAATAATAATAATAAAAAAAAAATAAGGGATCAAGAACCAATGTGTACCCCACCCCCACCCTCGGGTGTGTAATGGGAAAATCACTGGCTCGAAAATAACAAGTTCCAACTTCGTGGTTATTACTTCACCTTATTTATTAATTTACCGTTATTATTATTATTTTAGATTCTGAGCGGAGCGATGAATGTATTGGTTTTACAATGATGTGTGTTTTGTTTTATATTTTTTTATTTTTTATTTTTTTTTGTGTCTGCAGTCATCACGTTTTGGGACAGTAAAAGTGCTTAGATTTTCTTCAATAGTACCTTCTCTGATAGGAAAGTGAATCTAGTTGGTACTTTGGGGATCAAAAGTAAACATTTCCCAGTAGTTTTCACAAGCGCCGGGAAAAACAACATAAAAATTAAGGAAAAACGGGAATTTTTACGCAAAATTCGTTTTCCTAAAAATCGATTTTGGTTTTTGGTGTAACTAAAACAAATGAACGTATATACATGGAATTTTCACTGGTTATATTTGCATTTTCTATACACGATAACATTTTCAAAATATTTTGATTTATTTTGAACTGTTTAGGGACATTTTCATTTTCCATTTTTTTTTTAGTTTTTTTTCTAAAAATATCAATAAAATTTTATTTGTTGGTTGCGAAAGCTTGAAAATTTAATAGAAGGCTCCTAATTTATTGTTTCAAAGGCAGATGAAAAATATTAAAAATCCTTAGTCACAATTTTTTTTATAAGCATTTAAAGTTCAAAAATTGTAAATATATGGAAAAATCACGAAAATTAGCGAATTATTTTGAGTTAAGAATTCGTAAAAATTGTTCTTTTTAAATCTAAGATTTGAAAATGTAATAGAAGATTACTCATAAGTTTGTCTACCTTTATCAATAAAAAAATCTCTACCGGAATGTCAAATTAAATTTTTATGAGCGTTTGAAATTCAAATTTTTACAACATTGGATGTTCACTCGATTTCTCATGTAGCGATTACCTTATTTTGTTGTAATTCAAAAACGAATAACTGTAGATACATTAAAATTTCACTGAATGTTTATATTAGCATTTCCTATACACCATACAATTTTGAAAATATTTTGACTCTTTTTGAGCTGTTTATGGACATTTGCAGCTTTCAATTTTTTTAGTTTTTTTTTTCCATAAATATCAATAACGTTTTATCTGTTGGGCCAAAAAGTGTAAAAATTTAATACAAGGCTCCTGATATATTGTTACAATATCAGTTGAAAAATATTAAAAATACATAGGCACAGTTTTTTTTTATAAGCATTTAAAGATCAAATTTTGTCAAAATTTATCAAAATCTCGAAAATTATCAATCATTGTAATTAATAAATTATAAAATGTTTAGTTTTTATAGCTAAGGATTGCAAATTTAACACAAAGGTTCTCGTAAATAGTTCATACTGTAACCAAAAAATCTAAAAAATATATGAACACAGTTATTTTTTACAGACATTTTAAATTCAAATTTGGACGAAATAACATATTAAAAAACCTAGAATAACTATTTTAGTTATTTTGTTGTGATTGTATAATATTATTCCCTGAGTACTTGAAACTTCTAAAGTACACTATTATATATCTATTATAGTATCAGGGTTTTTTGTTGATGTATAACGCGTTATAAGTACCTAATGGATATTTTGATATGATTAATTTTGGAATTTATTATAGGTACCTACCTATTATAGGTCAAATTTTGGTTTAGTACCATAGATATGTATAATGTATATAATATGTCTTATACCTAGACTGACATACTGTCTCCGCTCAGAATCGTTTTTCTTATACAATGATATTATATCGTTGAATTCAAATTTAATATCATCCATTATACAGTGACCCACTTGTAACCTACTGTACAGCAGAGCGACACCCACTTGCCCACCTTTTTATTACATGTTTTTGTGCGCTCCCGTTGTACATCCGATCATCCGTTTTTGCGAGAATGCCCTTTGGGACCGAATTAAAAACAAAAGGACAACGAGTAACTACGCTGATTCCGGTCGTAGGGTGGCCCGAAATACGTATACAAACGGATATATATATACACATAATATTTATATTGTAGATGTTATATACTATATATATACACTGAAGATACTTTTCTTTTTCTCTCCACCGTATCCGTCTCTGGGGACCAATCGACTCCTGTAAAAACCTATATATAATAATATATACTATGCTCAATGCTGCTGTCATGCACCACATCATTTATAATAATAAGATAGTAGGTCGTAATAAATGAGTGTACATTGATTACAATAATCGTTCTATATAATATCGTACCATATATGGCCTACTATATAGCCTGTAGACGCATTAGACGTACATCAGAGACTTTCGACTGTTTTTATTTTCGTCTCCATCAAACTTTCAAAGTTATAACTTTATAATAATTATAACTTATAATATTAATAGGTATGGTATACTGATGATAGCTATGTAACGCATAACCGTAGACCGTAGTGTTTTGAACACGGGAATTCGGTTTGCTCAATGATTTAATTGTTTCTTTTTTCGAACTCGTTCCCGATCTGTTGGCTTTTATTTAGTTAATTATGTTTCATGCCAGTGTATAATAATAGATTTAGTGAAATAGCAAAAGTCTAAAGGCTACAGATTCGTGGTCTATAATATATGTACGCGATTGACTTCTCTCGTCAGGTTGTCTGCGCGTCTCTCGACAAATGTAACGATAAAGTTTTAAGCTGATTAAAAACTTTGTTTTATTTAAATGTCATTGTCGTCGTCACGAGAGAAACACATTTG